AGTATACACATTTACACTCAAAATTGAACAAGAATACGCCTGTTTACATTTTGTGCTGCCACAAGCCATAGTCTTGTACGTATGATTTGTAAAGCGGAAAAAGTACGACTTTCCGAAAAATTTGACATTTGACCTGGCATAATGTGGTCAGTTATTGACCAAACAACATACAAACTAGTACCGATTGCGAAATCTCGTTGAGACCAACCCACTGGTGCTTTCTACCAAGTTCTATCTTTTGGAAACACTAAGAAGTTCGCATCGACCCCCTCCCCCCCCCTACATCATTTCTCGTCATGAAACATTATACACCATGGCGAGGGTTACACTAGCCGTCAGAAATGCAGACTTAGCTACCAAAGGTTTTGGGCGACATTTTCTAAAAGCTGGGGAACGTTTCACAAGGTATCCTGATGTTGGGTACGTTATTCGATTACTTTCCTCGAACCTTCGTGAAATTTTGATACAATTCTACTTCATAAACTAGCCGGATGTTATGTTTTCAAAGTAAAAACTTCGTGTTTTACGATGTATTTAAGGCAACACCAACACTTCTTGCAAAAGATAATTGCATTCCGTAAAGCAATGCCTATCTCGCAATAGTGTTGTGTGCCTCTGCGCGTCAAGCAAATTTCCACTGACGCATTGTGTTCGCCTATTTGATATCACCGGGGAAGTAACAGCAGTGAATGAACATCCCACGCTCAGCGAGCCCGCACTCAACCTAGCTTCGCTTGCGCGATCATTCGATCGACTAATCCCATTTTCGGACAAGACGAAGTAAGTTACCTGAACCCAATTGATCAGTATATTTCGAGCTACCGCTGCCGGTAGCGCTCTGCAGGCAGTACGCCATTCGTGCAGCTACTAAAAACAAGGCAGCTCCGATATTGCGTGGCGGAGGAGACCATCACGGTCGCATCAGTCAAAAGCGCGGAACAACTAATTTTTAGTATTCCATCCGGCCGATGAGGGTAAAGAGACCAAACTCAGGTAGGAGGACAATGCTATTATTGCTGGTTCGTGGCTTTACGAATGCGTAATCCCTTTGACAGACACTCATTGACTGTTTGTGTCAGCCACGCACGTCAACGCTTACAGAGGGCACGTGCTTTTTCCTATTTGTTCGTGCGCATAGAGCAGGCTCACTCGAGAGACAACACAAACAAGATTATTCCTACCTTGCTCAAACCGCAATTTCTTCACGGCGCCACGCATTCCCGGTATGAACATACACCACGCGGTAATGCTGTGCTTACCGTCAGGCTGCGCGTTCTCCAGTCTCTCCACCAGCGATCCACCAGCGCCCTGCGACCGCCTCTGTCCAGCTGCTCCAGCTGCTGCACCCGAAGCCGCAGCTGCGCCCGGTCGTCTGCGAACTGGACCGTTTTGGTCATGGCCGCATGTGTGCGGGGCACGGGCGGCTCGAGCGGTGGGGTGGCTGCAGAGGTGGGGCGGGTCCAACGCTGGGGCGGCTCCAGTAGTGGGCTACGGTGGGAGCAGTCGCTCAGCCCTTTTGCTTCGTCCTGGCGAGATCGCAGCGGGCTCGTGCTGCGCTGAAATGTACGCGTCAGAGGAGGCAGCTAGCTGGCCGCCCAGCTTTGGGTGTGGTGAAGGTAAACCATAGTCGCCACGGCTGCTGGATATGCGGAAGGACGCACAGCCTCTTGGCTTCTTCGTAGTGCTTGATAGCTTTGCTTGATAGCTTTGTGTGGAGAAAAGCAGACGGTGAACTTGCATATCCCGCACTCCACACTTATGCCTTGGCACGAGACTCAGGAAAGATCTTGGAAGAGCGCGCCAGTACACCTAGCACCCGCACCTTCTGCACACGACGCCACGCACCTGCTCACTCAACCCCAACCCTCCACGTCATGAGGTTTCAGCTTCTCCCAATCCTGCATGCGCCGGCACAACAAATATGTCCAATCAGAGTACAGGGGTGCAAACACCGCCCTGCTTCCCTAACCGGGTTATTGAGCGGACAGGGGCGGCGTGCCCCTCCCCCTCCCCCACCGTTGGGGACGGCAGGAGGGAAGCCGCCGTCACAGGTGACTGCCTCCGGCGCCGATAACGACGCATCGAACAATCCTGGAACCGACTCAGTGGCATGATAGCAAACGATTTGGTCGCCCCAGGCAATATTAATAAGGGCATGGCGGGGATCTGGTAATTCGATCAATAACACCAGCGCCAGTTGCGTGTGATGAATGTGACCGACGTGCACTTTGCGACTAGGACAGGTATCTGTCAGTACACTGACACGCTTTAAAGGTATGGCAACGAGCAGGCCACTGGTCTATCAATGCAGTGGAATACGGGAGAGCCATTCGTTTCTATAGCACTGACTGCGTCAGGCTAAGATACCGGTTCGCAGCGTGTGGCAGTATATCACCGATAGAAACTGACGACAACAAATTGCCAATTTTCAACGTATCGTCGTTATCGTCGCTACGATGTCCAAACTTCTCAGCCTTTACCTTACGTTTGCACGCCATCCAAGGTTTCCTTGCATTCTTCATCGTCTAGCCTTCGGTTTCTTCAACGTCCACTTCGTCCCAATACCTATGTTGATTTCACGCTATGGTACAACTTCACGTAGGCGGATGCTCCAAAGTCTCTTGGCGTGAAAAACCAACGTGCAGTGTTAATATTGGAGCTGGCAATCCCGACTAAATCTGGCAACTTTCATCCGAAATATAAGGGTCGTCCATAGATGACGTCGAGCATTCTTGGCCTCCCTGGCTGCTCACTCGTCACGCTGGTGAGATCCCCATCTCCCTGGCTAAGCTGCTAGAACACTTCTGAAAAGCTTTCAGCATGATTCACTACAAAACCTAAGCGTAACGTTGTGGTATCCAAAACCTCCACTTCGCTCACTCGCAACTACCTCCTCCTCCTCCATGCGCATCATAACATGGCGGAACACTTTTACCATAAAAGCTGTAGTATTTAACATCGTTTTGGTTCGGCTGTGCCCAATCAGGCAGGTCACTGACCCAGACTTTGTCGCGATGGTGATGGCTTAAAGGCTCGCTCCATCGGTGCCCTGCATGGCATAGGTTAATGCATAGATTGAATTCGCGCCACTGTTGCCAGTTCTCGGAGTTTAACTACATCCTGCCCACTACTTATTACGAGATCAGCAAAGTCATAACCATCATGTACGGGAATCATAAGCTATCTGGTTTACTCGACTCATCCCATTCATTTGGGTAATACCTACAAAGTGTAAAAAACTTGGAAAAAAATCTTAGAAAAAGCTGGTTTTTGACTTAAAGATGAATCGTTTGAGTTGAATGATGAGCTGCATTTGTATTTGCAACTGTTGGCTTTTGGTGTTCACTGCGATGAATGCATAATTATGACACGGTAGGACATGTGCTGCCACCTTTACGATGGTACCTGGAGGGTACGAGTGCTGCCATCTTACAGTCTAAGTCGTGATGTGACCTTGCCTTGCGAACGACCTTGTCTGCGATGTCGACGATGCGAACGACCTTGTCCTCGAGTCGATCGTTCAGGTGACGTAAAGACGCAAATGTATGACCTGATGCAAGCAGGTGAGTCCTGCTTGCTAGTCAACAAAAAGTGTCACAAGATGGTGAGCATGAAACACTTTTAATCCGCAACATAATTTGTACTATCGAGTTTATAATATACTGCCTTGGCTTGGTGTAACTAACCCTTGCGAAACGTGCTGTCAATTTATATAGCAGAATTATCAAAGAAAATGCAAAACTTGTACACCACGGGCATCGAAAAGTACCTAGAAACTCTGTTACTTTTGTGCCTAAACGGTGTCCAGGAGCCCGCATGAGCTCGTGTCGGTCGACACGTCATGACGAAGTTTGGGCCCGTTGCGGGGGACTGAAACCTTATGTGAATGACATTGAGCACCACACCTGTCCGAGACGGCGGGCGAGAGATTCAGACACTCCCATTGCTGACCCAAGCGGGCAACTGGGCGGCACGCAGAGCTGAACAAATGCCGTGGCACCCTGGAGGTGCGCAGGCGTTCATCTTCCCGTAGAGGTTATCGCATGATCAGTCTCTTTGCGGGTCGCGAAGTCCCCCTCGGTGCGGCTTTGTTGAGATCAGGGCGACTTACGGTCGACACCCGAATACGATCGCTCTGTTCAGCTATCAAAATGTCTCCGTCCTCAACACAGGTCTAGCGGCGGACATCCAGACGGCACGAGGTGTCAGAAAGGGTCTCTTTAAACGGCGAATTTTTCGATACCCACCTCTGACGCTGAACAGGCGCTTATCCATTCAACCATCTTGTGACGATTTTCCGCGTAAAGCAAGGGATATGTCGGTTCGAGACACATGCAAACGTAAGTGAAGACCCATGTTTCGTGATATTGACAAAAACGTTTGACCAATTCTACCTTTCCGAGTGACGTGGGCACAGCTTACCCTCCCTGCGGTAACAGCGGGAGACGCACATGACGTGCTGGCATCGGATGAGGGCCCACTGTGGTAAACGGTCCGCAAATGCACAATGTGGGTATTACAATGACTGCTGGATGCTTTTTAAAGGAGGGGGAGACGCCAGTTTCCTCTCCTTCTCACAAGGACTGCACAGTGCTTGACAGCTATTTGTGGTATAGGCTTCTCCCAGGCATGGAGGGGTTCTTAGGCTCTTCTTCTTGGTATGGCGAGATCTGTGATTTGTCATCACGATACCGCGCGAAAAACCTCTAGGGAACTCTGAGCACACAAATTCCGGAATATTTCAGGCTTTGGACAGCACAACTTTCCTTGTTTTTTATTCACCGTCTGTGCGTATTTGTCTCCGGATTCCCATGGCCAAACTTGCTCCGTCCTCACCTGTGGAAAAACATCGCTGGCGGCTGCTTGTTTACGCTCGAATTAGCCAGCACCCGCGACCTGCGCGTGCCAAGTGTAAGCTAATACCTGGGCGGCGGCACTGATCGGTGCCATGCCAAGTGGCCGTGGCGCTGGAGCGTCGCCTGGAAGCGCGGCGGGTCGCCTGTCGGCGTCTGCGCAGAGGGCCCCTTCCGCCTGCGCGCTGGCCCCTCCTAGTCAGTGACTGTCGTGCCGTCTGCCGCGTTCAGCTGCATCCAAAATGGCCGACAAGAAGGACGACTCGCGGGGCGACATCGAGAGTAAGGAGCTGCTGGGCACCTACGGCATCCTGGTGGCTTTCCTGCTCTTCATCTACGTGCTGTACAACGTCATCTACTGAGGTGGTGTCCACCGGGCGCAGCCGGCGCTCATGCCGGACACAAGGCCACCGGAAGCGATGACAGGTGGGCGGAGCGCACGTAGGTAACCGTGGCCAGGCTGTGCGGCCTTTGAAGAATACTGAATGGCATCCTGTGTCGGACATTGGCGTGTTATCACAGCCGGTGGAGCCAGGAGAGCGTGGGTCTAGTTCATGGGTATTTCTCCTGTGTGTCTTTGTCTGAAGTGGCTCGAGCCGATCGCACAATTCAGGGGAGGAGGCGCTGGAGCGCTCCAGTTCAGTACTCGCCTCTGGACAGTGAAAAACCTGGTTTTTGCCACCGGGCTGCATTACTAGATGCCCACATTGTAATGCAAACGCTATATTTAATGTTTTTGTCTCCCGGTCGCGGTTGCGCTGTTTTTTTTACTTCTTGTTTCCGTGTTTTGCTTCGTACTGCTCCATCTACCGCCTCCACCTCTCGTGCTCCCGCGAAAATAAAACTTTGAACACATATTAAAAAATGCACGCCGGCGACAGCATTTCATAAGCCCCCCAGAGATGTTTGTCTTAAATTACCGTTAATTCACTTCATGCGGACAGCCTTCCTTCACAAGTCTTCAGAGCAGCTTCTTATCATTCAACCAAGAATGACCGGCAGGTGGTTTTCGTAGCAATCTATCCTTTCCTGGGTTATGCAAGGTGCTGCGGTAGGTACAGCATCTTGTCTGGGAGGCTAAGTTTGGCCGGAGACACCATATCCGCTGATGTAAATATCTGCCTTTTCACTGGATCTTGCTGTTGCTGACCAATTGATCCTCCCCCTACCGCATGGAGGGGGAGGGCAAATGACAGAAATCCACTCAGCCGAATGGCCTTGCCGAATGCATATAATCAGATGATATGTTTCATAGGGATTGCATTCCACCGTGTAAGCAAAGCGAAATACCAAAATTCGAGCGGTAATTTGCTGACGAACGTTTTATGGATACGTCAAACTTACGAAATTGCGTCCATTCGAAATACTTGTTTACCAAACATCAATTCTCCGAAATGTTCTCATTTGAATGCCAGTTTTCGGAAACGCCCAGTCGTCAACCGCTAAGTTACGAAGTGTTCTTCACTGGAATGACGATTTGCTCAAATGCTCTCTAGTTGGCATTAATTAGCCAAAATGTTCTGTAGTAAGCTGTAAGTTGTCAAGTGCATTTGTGAGAAACATTATGCATATACATAAGACGGCACCAATAGCCTTTTTCCTCGTAGAATGATAAGGAAAATGGAAAAATACATGGATTGATACTCCGCCTACATGTCTTTATTGAAATGGCTATCAGAATTAAATTTAAAACTGCCTGCCGATCCCACTCAATTTTTCACGGCCCTTTGGAAACAGCGAGCTATAGTTTTCACATATCACCAACATTCATGGGGTGTTAGTTATCAAGGGATTTAGGCGAACGGCAAATAGACGAAAGGAAAATCTCTGATTTTTCGACTAACCGAGCACTTTTTTGTTGACATGCAAATTTAACGAGCAGCAATTCGATGAATAAAAAACAGAGGATGGTTAATTGGCCGCATATCTATGTGTGTAGGACCAATAATGATAAAGTTGGGTACAAAATGCTATTTCGTCAAATGCTCACCATTGACTGGGTTTTCTGTTTTGATCGAATGTGTTTTGATCGAATGGAAATTTGCCGAAATGGTTTTAAGTTCAGTGCTAATTAGTTGCATGCGCTTTAGCCGGATTGTTCTCCGCCGGAAAGTTGTTATTCGGTTGTAGACAGGGCCCTTTAACACTCGCCCTGTGGGCGTTTTTATTCACCGTGGTCCTACGAAGGGAGGCCTCACCAGTCCCTTACCTCACTATCTCGAAAACCAAGCAAGCTAGAGCCAAAGGAAAGACGGTATTGGAAAGCCCTCGTCAAGGTGTATCAGATTAGCGTGGTCGAACAATGGCAGAGTTGACCTTTTACGAGTAAATGAGATCCCCTCTCCTGTTACTGAAAGAACTGGACATGCTACGTCAGTGAGGGAAACGGCGTAGAAAAGTGCGTGTGCATGTCAAAAGGAGTAATCGGCTGGCTCTACTGGACATTGACAGACATGACCTGTAATGTGACATGTCAAGTCGAAGAAGTGAAGGCTGTTGCTCCATCGGCCCGTTCAACTACTTCAAGAACTAAGCAAGCCAAACCAAGCTTTCATGGCCTTAGCAATGTTGGCTACTCCTCACAGACCCATCCTATCGATGCGTGATGTAAGTCACGGACCGTTCCTTGAGCGGTCCCAGTGAGCGGTTGTATCGCTTCACAAAACATTTCATAGCTTCAGTTTTATTTCGGCAAAGTGAATGTGGTTTTTGACCGTCCGACGAATTTACGGTCGTCTAATTCCCGTTCGTCAAATTTGCAATTCGACACATAGGTATGCGGCTGGTAAACCATCCTGTAATTTTACATTCGTTGAAACCTTGCTCGTTAAATTCACATTGCGACAAATAGATATTAATTTAATTGAAAATTTGGCGATTTTCCCACCGTCTATTGGCCATGCGCCTAAATCCCTTCTCGGGATTTTAACATTCGCCTGCTGAACATCTAGTTAAATCAGTTTTATGTTGATTAATATTTCAACTTATTGCATTTTAGCAAATGGTACGTCGTAGAAAATATGGAACGTCAATATGCCTCTTGCCTTTTAGCCGCTCACCTGTTAGTGTGGCGGCAAAAAGGATGACGTCAAAAAACATTCGGAATTTTCACATTGCGTAAAATGTCGTTCGGTTAAACGTCATTCGGCGACTTCTCTTGGGGTCATGGTGAAGCACGATTCTCCGGTTCCAACGTGCATGTAGGTACTGGATAAAATTCATGAAAGCGAAATGTCAATAATTCAAAATAATAGGTGCTGGAGTTTTATCGTCTAAAACACATATATTTGCTTGGGTGCCCCACTAGGGTATGTTAAGATGGGGATTACGCGAATAAATGTTCTCCTTTTCTGTGTTTTCATTCGTAATATATTAACGTTTTTACGTACAGGATAAATCTTCTCCCCTCCGATCGTCTCCGAATCCTCTCCGATCCCGTCCCAGAGATACGCATGCATGTTGTAATCCCCTCTTCACCAGATGTAGCTAATGTTGCAAGTGCTGCTGAGCTGACCAAGCGTGCGGCCATACAAGACGATGGGTTATCTACACGCCACCGGCTGTTCCCAGGGCAGGCGACGAATGATGTCTTCAGAAACTGGCGAAATTCTGAACAATACAGCATGACTTTTCTGAATAATGCTCGAAAGAGTAGTGATATTTCGACATTGTGAGTTGAGGGCTACTATTATGACAAAAATTGTCATGAGCCCAACTGAAACCGTAGAGCTTTGAGAGTGTAACCAGTGCTCGCTTGTTAGCCGCTTTGAAAAGCAGTGTTCCACATTTGTAATGGGGTTTGAATTAACATAGCCACATCGAAGATCGTTCGGTGCAGTTCATAGCTCTGCGCTTCTTAAGGCCTAGTCTCCCATAGCTCCTGAGCTTCACCCCCGCGAAGGCGTGCTGACTTTTTTGTAACAACTTTTTCGAGGTCACCCAGGCATCCATGATGACTTAATACATCATTCAAATTCTGCCATTCCACTGGATATATATCTTAGAATGTAGACATGTCTTCAAATGTGAAACATTTGTCCGAACGTCGTCGTCGTTTGTCCATGTCGAAAAGCCAGGAGGTCCACGCCTTTCTTGTTCATGTAAATATGATTTCTAAAATGGGAACGGAACAACAGAACCGAAAAACATTGCTTTTCCTTTTTACAGCGTCGGAGAATGCGACCATTGTGATACTCTGGTACACCACTGATACAAGTCGTTTGAGATAATGAATGCTCATGGGTGTACTGGTCCATACTTAGCACAGTCCCTTGGTCCCATAAAATTGGCTTCACGCAAGTGATCTACGGTGTAATGTACTTGCCTTGCTCGTGTATTCACATTCATAAACTGACTTAATTATTTTACGTTTTATTTCTGCATGCGTTATTCCAATAGCCGGTGTCAGATAACGGGCAGTGAAAACAAAGTATGCAGCGCTTTGCAGTTCTGCAGCGATTGCTGTTCCGCTAGCCTCCATGTTTTGATGGCCGTGAAAGTTATACCGGACAGCTTTTAAAGAATTAGGCTGAATGTTGCTGAACATTGCAAGGGGTCGCAAAAACCAGTTACGAAACATCATTAGCATGACGACTGGGCTAGGTCGCTCTAGTTAAGTTATTTTGACAATCGAAGCAAGACTCCCTCGGCCCCTGTGTGGTGTGAAAGTGGTCCTGGATCATATGAATGACATACCCAGAATGAAGTGATCCAGGCTGCCGCTACTCATTTAACATAACATATTACCAATGGCTCGATAGTGTCCCCATCGAAGCAGCAACAGTAACGCTGCGGTGTTAGTGGTGGAAATCTGTAAAACGAAAATAATCTCTAACCATTCACGGGTCACGCGTGCTTACTAGTAACGCATTCACATACACAATATAAGCAGAAAAAATCAGTTCACATTTAGCGGCATCGGTCCAATCAATAAAAAAAACGCCTGAAGCTAAAAATTTTGCACCAGATGCTCTTCATTCGTAAGACATCTGTCTGCTGCCAGGCCTTTGCTATTTACACTCTATTAAATACGCCATGCTTGACCAGAATTATACGGATAGAGATACGCTCGAATATGACAGTACCCATAGCGCTTCTACGAAGTACAGCCACCATTAAGGCAATGCCAGCTGAACCCTCGCACATAAGTGACAGTGGCTACTGTGTTTTGCATTTGTTGGTTGAGTTGATACTTCATGCGTCGGAATTTTCACCAGTCTGCACAGCAACATGGTATAATCATTTGTAACAATGATCTTTGTGCAAAAACATGTTTTGAAAGTTTTTGCGGGCTCAATCTCTGGGCTTGTATTTTTTGCGATATTAGTGCCATAATATGCTTTAACGAGAAGCCTCCGGAAGTCTTTCGCTACGAACAGTGGACCTCATGACACATATCCTAAACAACGCGCTCTGAACGTCTTAGACATTGCGCGGCCAACCTCCTGGACACTGTGTCCCGAACGTCGTTTGCTCAGCTGGGCTGACGAGCCCCATGGACTCTCACTAGACTTACGAGAGGGGCGGACTAGAGCGTGCCGCGGTTCACCCTGCGCTGACCTCGTCCGAAAGTGGCCTGACCCCAGCCTGTCAGCCGCCCCCCCCCCCCGTCCCGGGCCGCACCCGCTGGTCGATGGCTGCGTCGGGACCGTGTCGAATCGCTGTTTGGTTTGGCTCGTCGCTGGTCGTCTGGGACGCCGCAGAATGCCCGGATTAAGTGGCGCTGTCGGCGCGAGCTTGGCACTCCACCTCCTGGCGAACGCCTCGGCATCACCGAAGGGCGGGGCTCAGTCATCCTGCAAACTTCCTCCCTCACAAGCGGTGGCGTGGGTCGGATCACAAGTGTCTTGCTCTTGTGCGCTGCTTTTGGCGTGGTCGTGGCAGCCGACCGTCGGCCCTTGTCAAGGACGGGATCGTCTTGTTCAGTTCGTCTATCCCGCACCAGAGGTGTCCGCTCGCCAATTGTGAAATACACGATGGAAGCCTGAAGCGTTATTACTCAGTTATCTAATTAATCCAATGCTGATGGTGCCAAGCTAGCACTTTGGCTATGCTTGTCACGCATCCACCATCACCACTCAACTATTCTCGTAACCCAGATAGCTGCGTCGCGAAACTGATAAAATTAGACGACACTTTTTTAGCTCTTATGAATGGCGGCATGCCAAAGGCAGCAGCTGTACGGCTTGTGACGCCTTGCTGTCTGCGCCGAACATCTCTGCCGTTATTTTTCTTGGGCGGACCACAAAGTATTTGCCTGACAACATTGTAATTTGGGGGCATTCCTACTAATATATTCAACATTCAAGCGTACGAGGCTCAAGGTACTCCGGTCGTCTGCAGTGCTGTGATTGATCCGATCTCTCGAGTGGGTGCAGTCTTGTGCCGATATGTCATTCTCTGCCAACAACAATACTCGTACAACATGCAGAGCCAATATCGCCTATCTGGCTTAACTATCGAGCATCTGTCGTTCGGCACAGGAGAGAAATAGCTAGCTGCCGACGCCAGCCAAGAGCCAGCTATTTCGCGCTTTGCTAGACAACTAACTGCGACAGCCGGCACTTGGCCGGCGTGCTCCTGCTAGGTGTTGCCCACAAGGCTGTGACAGAGATCCACCCCGCGACGCACGACGCCTCAAGGCGTTCGGGGCTGACCTACCCCGCATCGTTTGAGGATTCTGCACGTGTCGTGCTTCAAATATTGGTTCAGGGCGTGCTTCATAAGATATGGTAACATGTGCTAGAGATGCCGCGTTCGTCGTTGTTAAGCCGCCGGCGCAACGTCAGTTCCGCGGCGAGACAGGCCCTAGTTGCTACCGTGCGCCGATATTAAGCCTGCTGCCAATCCTATCGAATCCCGGAGTGAACCAGAAATATCCAGCCTGCGATGACCTCTGTGAAACGAAACTGCAACTTGCAGTTCATTTCGATTGCATAGTACATAAACACCTACCGCATAGGCAGACAGTGCGGGTCAGTTTTACTTAGAATCACGATCCTAAGTAATTGACCGAATCGAATTTTGGTGACATTGGGTGGTCCGACCGGAAGGTTCGCGCTTCCCTAAGTTACCAATTAAAAAGGACGCCTATTCTTGGTATTTGTCACTGCCTTCCACGCGCATTAACCAGTTGCGCTGCCCAGGCTTGTGTTGCATCAATGTGTTTGTTATCAAACGTGCTGCTGCAGTGCGCTTTATATGCGGTAATTACCTTATCTTAATTATTAATGCTATAATTACTTATTATTTGTACAGATACTGAATGATGACGTAATCATGGAACAATTATTTACTTTAATAATGGCATGGTAACCAAAATGATTTGTGTAAAGCAAATTGTCAACTTGGGTGTCGATGCTAATCATCGATGTATAATGTTTCTCACTGTAATGTCTACGTGGGATGCCCCAAATGTCTCGTGATATGTACGTTGCACGCCATTCGAACCCAGCAATTTCACGTTTCCGAGACCCTTTTGTCACATTCATTGGTTATCACTGTCACCGATCTCCCCATGTCCTGGCATACGCAAAAAGTCCATGGGACTGCTAGACTCCAGCCGCGGGTGCAATAAGTGGCCTAATGCACTGAGCATTGTTTTGTTCCGAAACGACGCGGTGAGTGACAAATGTCATTGGTTCCACACGGAGACCCACTCGGTGCCGGACCTGACTGAAATCGTTTGCATTTCTTGGATCAAGATGGGCAACATTCAGTACGAGTTGTTGCGATGTCCCCCATACAGCATTACGAAAACATCGCTTGAGCATCTAAAACCATGTGCCAGCAACAAACAAGCAGTCAGTGGAGGATGCTTGTTTGACTTGCCTCATGTCTTGTTCTACAACGCAGTGCTTTGCAAACAGCTGGTAGTGTCTGCGAGCCTGAGAACATTTTGTGCGGTGAGTTGGCGCGGCCTCACTGGCTGCGTGCTACGCCAACCGTGCACCTTTGATCTGAATATGTATGATGTCAGAGAATGTGGTGACAGCCCCGTAATCAAGAGCGGAGACGATTCTGACAAAGATCGTAGCATGCTGTTGAAGGGTTCTAAAAGAGTTAAGAGTTAGATATTCTAAAGGGCATCTGTTCAGCCCAACAAGATGCAGAACAGCGGAAAGTTACACTTCCGTATTTTTGGCACCCAGCGAGTCTCGCCGTACCCACCTGGCCTAAAGTGTTTAAGTTTCACGTTTAAGTCACGTTTGTGTCACGTTTAAGAGCACCACGATGTGGTACCCGGCGCCCATAGCGCCGTGTCAGAACCAAAGATGCCTGGTAGATCAGGAGTCGTAGCAACTTCCTACGCATTGAACTCAGGTCTTTTCGGCGGGCCCAATCTATATCATACCATTCACGATACGTTTTGGAGGCGTTGGAATTTGAGATGACATGGTTGATTTATGCTGTGTGCTACCAAACTTAAACAACCTTTCAAGTTCCCGGAAAAAGGATAAAGCCTTGCTCACATGCACATGAGCACGCATGCATGCTGTCTGGCACATCGCCAAAAGGGATCACTCATCTACATCTCCCAGTCCCGGACTCCCAACATAAGCATATCAAGTGTCGCCGACCCCTGTTGACTTTTGAAACGCTGATTACGAGCCCACAAATTAGGACAAAAAAAACATGGCATCATCATCTGTTATTGTCGGGACCGTTTACAAATGGCTTTGGCATCATCCTTGAGGGGAACGCCGTATGAATATAGCTGCTGGTGCCGGTGCTACGGCCTCTGACCCTCGCCAATGCTCATACCCCGCGTCGCGGTCGGCGTCAGCCCAGCGGAGGCCGTAGGATGTGTCGTTATTCATGCCTTGCCATCCTCCGTTCTTCGTTCAAACAGCCATACCTCATTCATTTATAGTATTGCTGACGCAGTCATGCTCCTTGTTTTAGTCGCATCAAACCTCCTTTTTTTTCCAAGTGAGGGTCTACCATGCGCTGTATGTTACCGACCAGCAGTTCCCCAAAAACGTGCCATTGCGCTGTAGCCTTATCTACCTCAGCCGCTCTGCACTAAGCGCCCAATGACACCTGCCTCCCGCCCCTTAAGTGTGACACAGCGGCTGTACTTGATGTGCGTCTGCCTGCTCTTCTCAGCGTGCCGTCGCTGTAGCCGTATCTACCTCAGCCGCTCTGCACTAAGCGACCAATGACACCTGCCTCCCGCCCGTTAAGTGTGACACAGCGGCTGTATTGATGTGCGTCTGCCTGCTCTTCTCAGCGTGCCGTCAAGTCGAGCTGCTCTTGTCTTCTCAGCGTGCCGTCAAGTCGAGCTGCTCTTGGCTTCTCTGTGGTTGGCCGACCCCATCAGCCGAGCAGAAGGGTGCCAGTCAGCTGCGATGACGTTTGAAGGCGCGGGCGGCACGTGCCCAGCCCGTCACTGCCGCTCGACGGGCGCCAATTGGCCTTTGGCAGCCGATGGCGTTGATGTGTTTTCATTCGAAGAATGACGCGTCGACTTCGGCGAGAAAATACACAGCGCTGCCACCAGTGTTGGGCCATGTTTCGCGCTGGGAAATCGATCGAGAGATGTTTCGACAGATGACGTGCCTGTCAATCACGTTGCATGATCCTGTCCGGCCGCGGCAGAGCGATGACCGATGTGACTGGATTAGAATAGGCGGGCGGATGCACTGCATCGCGTAGTTTTACCTTTTTATACAGAAATACGGAGGGAATGGATACATGCAGCACCTATTGCCAGACAGTTACAGAAGAGCGAATGCAGCGTGCAGAGCAAGGATGTTTGGGCAAATTATCCCACACAGTTTGATATGATCAGTGAGCGTGTTTTGCGGCCTGACCTGCGTGTCCCCGTCCTTTCAAAATGTAGCGAAGATTTGTTATGAAAAGTATCCTCAGCAGTTGTTCGAGCAACGGTCGTGTTGGTAGAATACCAGTTGTTTCTCGAATGGGGACTTAATCTAATTACATGGACACATGGCCATGGACAGGCCATTACGTGGCCTGTCCTCGTCTCGTCTCCTGGGATCCCTGTGCGGCGTGCCTTTGCAATAAGCAGTGTGTCAACTTATAGTCCTGCACAAGGCATATAAAGTGAAGTAAATGTGCTTCTCGCAATACATGGCTGGAATAAAATGTGTTTTTTTTAACAATCAGTCTGATTACTTTGCTATGTTTTGTTCAGAATTATAGCAATCTGGTACATTTTAAATATGACTTCCTGATGGACATGTCTGACCTATTATCTGAACCGTTTGGTGACACCAGCAAATGTTTTGACGAATGAAAGAGACTAGAGAATCCAAATGCAACACGAAATAATCCTTGGAACTCAATGTGTCGTTCGCCACTCTAAAAATACTCACAAATGGCGACACACAATGACAAAAAGTGTAATCCCAATGAGCGTCAAAATGCGTGTCCAAAAATATCAATGCCGCTGATTTTCTACCAGGCGTAAAAATATGCATGTATTCAGAAATTAAACGCAGTGTCAAAGATGAATTGCACTGCATTTGAAGCACATATGTTCGTCAATTTGATGTTTTTAGTTTACAGCCTGGCTGGCATTTCACAGTTGAATAACTGTAACCAATGTTGACTTATTTTTGTGATAAGGGAATTGAGCAAAACATCTTAGCCAATATCGCCTAACGATGTCATACGTAGAAGTTGCCATTACGCAAAACAACGGAACTAAAAATATGCAAAGCAAATGTGGTACAAACCCAGTTTTGTTCCATTGGGATCTCACGATGTTGCCATAGTGTAAAACAGCTACCACGATCAGGAAGGAGACCTACAAGAGACGCTGCGCGTTGTGGCTTCAACAATTATGTCCGAATCATGGCAGACAGAGCAAAAGTGATCGGGAGCACTCCAACGTTCTGGAGAAATGTTTTGTTGACATATAAGTCTCAGTATACACCAATGCGATTCAAGGCGATCAGAGAATGGCATGCCACCTTATTATCGCTCTTGTTTCTGCCCCTGGTCCGTACACAACGCTGCAGTTGGTTGATTGGATACGATCTTTTATTGCGAAATGGTTGCCTACAGTATGGTGTGTTTCAAAAGGCGTAAAGAATGTACTTATCAGTCGTGGAGTGTGCCAGAATTATCCAGGAATTTTTAGGATTCGAGGTACATCCGCGGCATCATGAACCTTGCCTTCTCTCGATCCTACAGGACTCGGTGTGCGCATATAATGCATGAGGGTGATGAACAATGATGCATAGGTCTTACGAATGACAATTCATGAAACGTGAGATACATAATCACGTGGCGTTAATACCCACTTGGGTCATTTTGTCTAATCTATGGAAGTTATTTGTTCCGGGGCTGGGGTGAGACGAGCATTTTGTATCAGCCAAATTTTCGTCAGCTCGTCAGAAAAGTATACTTTCTGTACCTTTGAAGATGGACAATCAATAGTACTTTTCATGGGAGCATCTCTGCCACTATTAAAAAAAGAAAATTGGACCTTATCTCTCGTATAATTAAAAGTGCTGAGTTTTGTTGAATGTCAGCAATCACACGCCAATAGTGAAGGGTGCGTTGTCGACACACACACACACACACACATGCCTATATATATATATATATATATATATATATATATATATATATATATATATATATATATATATATGTGTGTGTGTGTGTGTGTGTGTGTCGACAACGCACCCTTCACTATTTGGTGTGTGGTGTGTATATATACACACCACACACACATATATATATATATATATATATATATATATATATATATATATATATATATATATATATGCATATATAGCGGGACGTATAGATAACTACATATCCGACAAAGTTCGGACGGTTTTTCTGGGGATCACCAGCGGTGGTGATTAAGTCATCACTGTATCCGTTTCTCCATAGCTAGGCTCGTGATCTGCCCGGCTCTCACAGGCCTCTTTGTCTGGGACCACTGTCGCCGCCCCGGCCCCACTTGGCATGACGCTGAGAACGGAAAGTCGTAAATTAGCTAGTGCTGCCAGGGTCAACAACTGGCATCATCCCATCGGCATCCACCGATTCTACGGAAATACGCCGCAGTCGTGAGGCCGGGCTCTGCTTTGCTTTCGCGCGCGGCTGGGAACGCAGGGGGGTAGAGGTGCTGTCCCATTTAGCGAACTCATTCCGCGAGAGATTTCGTCATTGACGGGGTCGGCTGCTGCTCTCTGATCCCTCAATGCCTACACTTCACGACGAAATGCAGAAGGATGGGTCTAGTTATGTTTGAGTGGGGAGTGATATAAGACTGAACAGTGCGTATTTTTAGCCATTTCAAAGAAAACGCCCCAGTCCTCTACCATGTCGGCGTTTGTCACTCATAAACGTTCTCTAATAGATTTATGGCGTCGGTTACAACGGTCAAAAAGCCTTTTTGGAAGCACATCCGCGTTCCCCTCAGGAAGCATATCCGCATTCCCCTCAGAAGGCATATCTGCATTCCCCTCAGGAGGCATATCCACACACTTAATGCGCGTGTGTAACGTTCCCTCGATCGACAACACAGAAGCGGAGAAGTGCGATGTCGAGGTCTCCACGCGGACGCCGAAGATCATTTGCCGGTGTGCTGTTGCGCCTCCCACCAGTGACAGCCTGACACACCCGGTACGTGAACAGCGAGCGTTCACATTGCGAACGTAGTCAACGCCTGTGGACTTCAGCAGCTTCCACGGGCCCCACTTTCTGATGGAGTCCGTGTGCTGCCGTAGTGTAAGGCGTCCGGCAACACGCGGCTGGAGCCGAGCCAGCCCTCACCCTGCCACTTCCTGCGCAGAGCAGCCGTAGCAGAACTGACGCGGCGGCGACGAACGCTACTGAGTTATGTACTCTGCAGACGAGGAGGACAGGTGGTGACGGTGCCAAGGAGGGCTAGATTTGAGCGCACGGCGGTATGCGGATGGCATGCGACGATGACGAACTGCTGCTGAGTGCGACAGCTGAGCTGTCTGGTAAACAGCACGGGATGCAAGGCAGGTTGGCACCTGGGTAACCCCAGGCATGGGCGAAGAACCTTTGCAAAAAGTGCATTAGCCGTAAGCACTCTAGCGTGTAGGATCTAATTGGAGACGCTGATTAACAAGATGCCAAGAAATGTTCGCATTCTGTTGCCTAATCCTCCTACAAAAATTGCATGATTGTTTTTGGCTTGTGAGTCATCTCGGTAACGGCATATAACTTTGAGAAGTGCTCTCGCAAATTCCTAGTTGCTAGCATGTTATTAGAACATGATTGATTGCTCACCAAAGACATCATGTCACCCCCATCAATCTAAATCCCAAACGTGAACCCAGCTTCCGGTTCAGGAACTTGGTCAGGACGCTGAGTTGATGTTTTTAACGGCGCGCGGCATTTGGTGTGATTCCGGAGATCGCTAGGATTTGTTTAGGTATGACCAATAATGGAATGTTCAATTATGTCCTTTTCGGCCATAATTTACCATTCTAGAGCTACGGGATGATAAATAGGTGTGATTGGTGAGATCATGCCGCGGTCGCCTGGGTTTGTCACCACCACAGAGCCTCACCCCGGACAAGGATCCGGGCACAGATCGTGTGCAGGGGCCCTGGCGAGACTCCCGCCGGGGCGCCCGTGCCGCTGACTCACGGCTGATGCCGCAGCACGCTGCCGGGCGAGCCGGGCGCTGCGGAAATTTGGCACGAAGCGGTGAGTAAGGCAAACGGGTCAGGCCAGCCTACAGGTGTGGTCCGTGGCGCCATCTGATTTAGTCATCGGTATGTGCGTGCGTGTGTGTGTGTGTGTGTGTGTGTGTGTGTGTGTGTGTGTGTGTGTGTGTGTGTGTGTGTGTGTGTGTGTGTGTGTGTGTGTGTGTGTGTGTGTGTGTGTGTGTGTGTGTGTGTGTGTGTGCACGCACACATGGATAAACTCATGCAATATGAGGACTTACACAGGTGCCGGCCCATCGTTTGCGGAAGACAGATATTTTGATCAAGCCCCGGGGCAAAAGGGAAAGGTTAAATGCATTCGGGCACCTCAGACTCATTAATTACGTCCGATGTCATCCCTGCTTAGTCAAGGTGCTCGGGAAGCAGTCGGAAGCCAGCGTATTTTTGGTGGAATCCTTAATCACCTAGGTGGCGCTCAAGATAAGCAAAGCCACAGGGGATCAGTGGGCCCCTATGTGGACAACACGTCCTGAAAAGTTCAAGAGGCACCTAAGAAAACCAAGAATGCAGGCTCTCAAGATAATTGCATGTCCCCGATGCGAAGAGGGCGCGCCAGCAGGTTTTTACAGCGTTAGCCGTCGATCTTTACTTTCCATCCCGCTGTTTAAAGGGGTGGCGCACAGCTAAGTATATTCATCATGACCACCTGACTGTCGACGTTCTCAAACCGAGGGCCGCCCGTCGCCCTTGGCTGGTCGACTGGTGACCGCAGGTGGGTGAGTACCGCGCGGCAGGGTCACTGGTCACTTCCTGGTTTATCAGGTGTTTTCATGTCACCCGGATCACCCGGATGATCGATTTGATACTCAAACGGGCGTTGATTCTGAGCAATTAACGACCAACACCAGGCGTCCCGGACGTTTCCGAATGCATGTATGATACATGTATGTTCGAGACGCTGCCGCGGCGCGGCGCCACCGACCGTGCCCTAGCGTGGCGCCACCTATGCTGCTCCGGCACCGAAACTTCCGACACCGCTGATGCGTAGCGCCACCCGAGTCGCGGCTAGCCCCGGCAAGCCAAGCCGCGGCGCTAGCAGCGTCACTGTGACTCGATGCTGGCGAGTTTTCTTTGCTTCTTAATTTACAGAACAGCATAAAATCAACAATAACTATTACTTCAAACAGAGGTAACGCTCTGCTCGGCTGAAAAGTGACAGAATGTCTGCCGGTAACTACCGAATGTTCGGTGTATCAGCATCCCAGGGTCTCACAAAGCAGCCTTTGCGTGATGGCTAACAGCCTTACCCTGGCAATGGCTTGTCTCATTTCGCCTCCCACGCGCGACGGATGAGGTTAGCTTCAGCCCGACAGCTATTGAAGAATCAAACCATCGGATCAGAGAAATTCGAAAGCCAGTCGTTAAAGGGAATATTCCACATTTGAAGAAACTGAGATAGGGATCAGATATGATGGT